AAAACAACAAATGATCTTGCCATGTTATAACATAAGCACAATACTAAAAAAGAACAATTTTTTGTTTCCTAAACCTGCACATTTTTGAATGAAAAAGAAAACAAGGAATCTTGTTCCTGATTAGCAACAAGAAAAATAAATTAAAACTTCCATAATATGCACTGGACGAAATCCACACAGGTATTTAGAAAGAAATGTCAAAATCAACAGGGCTCTTTATTACTTGCAGAAAAATTCAATACCTTGATTTCAAAAAACATGAAACATATTGGTAATAATCTTTTAAAAATTATAATGGCTTTGGTACTGTAGTACTTTATTAGCAAAGATCTAAGCAACAGATTTCTGTTCATTTTGTACATACAGTGGTTTAAATGCAAATATAATAAAGCCAATATTTCTGTTATCTAGAGAAGAAAAGAGGACCCCTTCTGAAACTGGAGGGGTAAGAGTGTGGCAGCCCTGTTTCAGCATGGTGCCTAGCTAGCTTCAGGCAGCCGGCGTAGGATTATACCCGCACCCAATAGCTAAGTACTATTCCAGATTGTAATAACCTCCTCTAACCAGGCTACAGCAGGGAGGCTACCACTGCTCTGTTGACTTTTCACAGTCCAGAATGGTCTGAATTATTTTTGTTATGCAATTCAATTTGGTGCCAAGCACCAAGCATGGTGTGCTGCCCTCTATGCTAGGCAATATATGTCTGGCAAAGATATTTACTTGTTAAACAACAAATTTCAAAGCCTTGCTGCTCCTGACACATTCTTTATATTTGAATAACTGAACATTTAATGTTCTGGTGAAATCCCAGTGCCAGCGTCGCCTGCTTTATGATTGAGAGTTCCTCAGAGTACAGGATAAGGTGGGTTTGTTTAATCAAGTGAGTACGTATTACAACATGACACTGCACTAATACAACTAAAGAGAAATTAAAACAAATCAGTTATTTCTATTCCAGTATTCATGACACAAAAAAAGTTGAAAGGTAGCATTTTTATCATTCACAAAACTGGATTCTAACCAAATATACCATGATATACACTATGTTCACTCTGTAACTTGATTTTTTTATTATAAACCTCATGGGAAAGATTTTTCTATGGCATTAATCAATGTAATGTATGGGTAAATTATTTTGTATAACAGATTTCATATAAATTTATCTGTTAAGAATAATTAAATTGTTTTTTCTAAAAGCATATCTTAATGGCATTTTACTGTCATAATGCTTTCAATTGAAAAAGAGACTTCCAAACATAATTTCTGCCTCTGCCTACAGTGCTTACATGGACAAAGGAACATTTGCTATCTATCAGGTAGGTGCAAGTTGGTGTTATTATGAAGCAGTGTTTTTCTTTTTACACCAAAATCTATCCTTTTTTTGCCCTATGGACAATGCCAAAATATTCCTAACAGTCTAGAATCCTATGGAAGGAGACTTAAGGATAAGGTATCTGTCTAGTGCTAATGCTGCAACTGGATATCTGAGGCAGTTATCATCACACTATTGTCACTAACTTCTGCACTATGCAGCTCAATGACCAAATATTATATGTTTTGTATGTTGTTCATTAGGAAAAAAGATTCTGACATGCTCCTCTTGCTTTCATAAATGGCAGAAATGGAGGAAAAACATAGATGAATTCTGTTTTTAAGCAAAGCCAATTTTTTATGTAGTATGAGCAGAACATATAAAATGGACACTTGATTTTAGATGGTGCCACAGCACAGGACAGCGTTCCACAAGGAAGTGAAATAGCAGTTTGATTATTCACAATGGAATAACTTAGCCATGGTTGGATAACAATTTGTGATCATCGCACCTTTTTACCAAGCTCTTCACAATCACATTACCTGCACACCTTAATCCCTGCCCTGGGAGCACCAGCAGCTATTAAAACCAAAGAGAAATGTAGGCATCCCTGATAAATGCCATATCTATGTGTGTCCTGCTGGATTTACCCACTTTCTTGGGGAGAAAAAATTTTGAGATGTTATTTCTTTGCTTTTTATATATTACTTCTATCATAAATTTATTTAATAAGTGGAGACTCAATAAGTTCCTCCTGAATCATATGCTGCTTATTTCCTTCCTTTTTATTCCATAATTTCCAGCAACTGAAATTCTAGCCCTAAATCTAGAATATATACACCCATGTATAGGAGTGTCACCCACTGGAGATAGTTTTAATTTATCAGCTTCAGTTTCCAAAGCCCTGGGCTTTCCTCTGCTGGCCACTTCATTCTCTTGTTTATTTGCTGCGCACTTTGTCAAAACCTCTGTTTAAATCTTTGATCTCAGTCAAAAGCTTCTCAACTATATTCATCCCTACTGAGGAAAGGTTACTTAATTCAATAAGCAGCACAGATATTAATCCAGCAGTGAAATAAACCTTTGGTAAAGGCATGTATGCTTGAAACTCAGTTACTGTAATTTTTTCAGAATAATTGAAAAATATTTTTATAATAGATAACGACTCACCATACTAGATACATTTGTACAGATTTAGCCACCTATCTTAGGTGCAATCCAGAGATTCAAAGGCAGGACACCACACTCACATATGCAGTGGAGAGAAGTAGGTACCTTTGAAGGAACAGCTCCAAGTCCATTTTTTACTCTTGTAAAAAACAGAGGCCCTTTTCAGTCTGAGTAATAGTGGCAGAATATGTCACAAAGAAACTTAAAATTTAACACTATTTTTAATGAAAAAAATCAATAAACTCAAAAGATCAATAAATATTAATTTCATAGAATCATAGAATCATAGAATCGATTGGGTTGGAAAAGACCTCCGAGATCATCGAGTCCAACCCTTGGTCCAAATCCAGTCCATTTACTAGATCATGGCACTCAGTGCCAAGTCCAATCTGCGTTTAAAAATCTCCAGGGATGGTGAATCCACCACCTCTCTGGGCAGCCCATTCCAATGCCTGATTACTCTCTCTGTAAAGAATTTTCTCCTGCTATCCAACTTAAATTTCCCCTGGCGGAGCTTAAGCCCGTGCCCCCTTGTCCTATTGCGGAGTGCCTGAGAGAAGAGACCAACCCCCACCTGGCTAGAACTTCCCTTCAGGTAGTTATAGACGGTGATGAGGTCACCTCTGAGCCTCCTCTTCTCCAGGCTAAACAACCCCAGCTCCCTCAGCCTCTCCCCATAGGACTTATGCTCCAGTCCCTTCACCAGCCTTGTTGCTCTTCTCTGGACCCGCTCCAGCACCTCAATATCCTTTCTGAACTGAGGGGCCCAGAACTGAACACAATACTCAAGGTGTGGCCTCACCAACGCAGAGTACAGGGGAAGGATCACTTCCCTGCTCCTGCTGGCCACGCTATTTTTGATACAGGACAAGATCCCATTGGCCTTCTTGGCCACTGGGCACACTGTTGGCTCATGTTGAGCTTCCTGTCAATTAGTACCCCCAGGTCCCTTTCTGCCTGGCTGCTTTCCAGCCACTCTGTGCCCAGCCTGTAGCGCTGCAGGGGGTTGTTGTGGCCAAAGTGCAGGACCCGGCACTTGGCTTTATTGAACTTCATCCCCTTGATGCTATTGCAGACACAACAAAGAGCTCCTTAATAAAAGAGGATAAATATGGTGAAAATAATATGGTCTTGCAAAAAATATGGTGAAAAAGAGCCTGAGCAGGTGCAGCATCAGCTTCTGGTACAGTGGGAGATGCTGATCCCAAATAAAGTAGGCATACAGACATAGGAAAATCTTGTTTGGAAGGAGTGTGGAGGAGTGTCCTACCTTAGAGGTTGTTAAAATGGTCATAAGTCTCCCTCCCTGAAATTCCTTTCATGACTTGGTTAGACAAAGCCACATCCTCCTTGATCAGACTATTATGACTACTCATAATAGTCCTGCTCTGAACAAGAAGCTGAACTGGAGAAAATCAAGGGCACTGTGCCACCAAACCATACTGAAACCTTACCATTTACCACTGAAAAACCTCACATCTTCACTGGGTAAAATAAGCCCCTGTGTGCACTGCCCACCA